GGGCTGTGATACTGCCAAGTCGCTCAAGCCTAAACAGGCTTGAATTCGAGAGGCAGAGGTTGGGTTCGAACCACGGACCTCCCGGGCAGTAAATTCGCGCTCTGACCACTGAGCCACTTAGCCCCAAGAGACAAGTATACAACCAACTGAGGGTCTGCTCTCAGAAAAATTCCATTCGTTCGACTGCGTCACCCAATCGATGCACGCCTACCATACAATTCCAAAAGCACGAGAGTTAAGCTACGGCCAAATGGTTGAGTGTAGACAGGATTGGATTCCAGTAGCATGGTGCCTTGACCAATCGTCCATCACGAGCTCAAACCCGACCTACTACTCTCAATCATGTACTAACATGATAAACAAGAGGGGGATCGGGCCAGAAGTGATTGGATTCGAGGAGTTTTCAGCAACCTTATGAGTAGTGCATTACAAAATATAGAATTGATTGGAGTTCACTACCAAATCCGCAACATTCTTGGGATTCGGATCTCTGAATTTCGTCCTTCAGCCACATGTACTACATACGCTAAAAATTCAAGAGGAAATTCGTACATCCATCTAAGTATCGCGATTTCAAAGTAGTCCAAATTCGCAGTCTCCGAAAAGAAGTTTCACACGGGCGACTGCTAAGTGTATCAACTGAAAAGATATGGACCAGAACAATCACTCACCCCTGTCCGACCTTCTCCACGAGGCGATACTTTTGATACGGATCTCCCTTACTTACGACAGCTTTTAGTCGTTCATATACTTGAGTATCCGTGATGCGCTGTGAACCGTGGCGCCGGCGTGTAGCACTAGTCGGGGCCTTCGAGCTTACCTTCGGATAATGGTGATCTGGCGGTACTGGAGCCGGGGGAACCTGGGATGATGGTTCCATAGGCTTTTTAGTAACTCCACCATGTGGTGGAACTAGGGGTGGGAACACAGGTTTCGGCTTTAGTGCTGGTTTCCTTGTCACCTGGGCAGATGAAGGATGGTCCGGGATAGCGGCAGGCGACGCCAGAGGTTCGTTACCGATCTCATCCCGTTTATCCGCCGCAGGATATGGAGTTGCTGGTTCGGTGTGGTCCGACCCGACCAAACCGAAGCTATCGGTTGATTTTCGCTTAACCTTAATGTTCCCATTGGGTTGTTCTAGAGAAGTAGAGAGAGAGAGAGAGAGGGGATGGAAGACGAACAGGATCGTGATACAGAACAGGTGGATACAATGGAAGTTTTACAAGTAAAACCACACATTCTTGCGTGGGAAGCCAATGCTAGTCATAAATGCGCACACGCGCGCGGACGGCCTAGTCCAAGAAGAAGTCGTTTATCTGACAAAGTGCAACTCAGATACAACAACCAAAACCAAGGCCAGTAGGACCCCCCAAGATCCCGCACACCTTGGGTAGGGGAGAATGCAGTTATCCAACGAAAGGTTCTATCGAGAAAGCGAGCACCGTTTAAAAGTATGCTCACTTTGGGGATTGATTTCGCGGTAAGCCTACAGAGCCTTCCTAATGGTACAATTCCGTACCACATGATACTCCACTGATAGACAGAACAGAGGCTGCAGATACCCCTTCACAACGAACAAGTTTTTCTTCGCTGTTCTGTGACATGGTTCTACTCTGCATGGCGTCACAACGATTCCACTGAAGGACTACTCATTCGTTCTTTTAAAGATGAGGATTAGTCGGCAGTTTTTTTGGTGCAACGTTTCCGCAGACGTTGCGTCTAATGCTCGGCAGGTGAAACATGGTTTCTATTATACCTGTTGATTCGCCAATCTGTGGTATCTGCTGCTGACCAGCTCTAAGTGCCCGGTGCTGGAGAAAAAAAACTCACAGAAGGGAACACAGCTATATTCCGAACAAGCGAGTGTGAGGGCAAAGTTACTCGGCCCCACGCTATTTAAAGGGGACTTTCTGACATTGATCCAGGCTGTCCGATCGGCGTTTAGTGAAAACCCATCGACATCGATCGTGCCTGAACGCTGAGCACACTCGGTCGTGCTTCTGTGGCGTGCATGAACACTCGTCGGCTTTTGCTGAATTGATTGACTGGCCTGGATGCTTGCCGGCTTTCCTGTTGAGATTTTGGTGGAGCAATAGGTTTCGGGCGTTCTGAGGTTGCTTTCAGGAATCTGACCTTCCTGATAGTTTCTTTCGTTTCATCGGTGGTCAGTAAACTTTGACCTGAGGAGAAAAGTGCGTTTCTTTTCCACTCCAAACGGCAATCAACTCTTTGCCCGTACAGTAAATATGGTCAAGAGAAATTCGAAAACGAGAAGGGAACAGACCACACGTTGGCATGATGTGCACACTGTAGGAGAAATGTAGTACCTCGACACGATTTCGAATACCGGAACCACTGAACTTTTAGACGCATCGACGCACGAGCGAGAGCACAGCAGTGGTCCCGTGTGATCCATCTTCAGCTCTCGCATGACTCCAGCTGGAGGCGGAAGGAACATGATTCATCTGAAAATGAGTGTGGGTCATGTCGCTATCACCGAATAAGATGGTGTTCCGGTATCTAGGTTCAGCTGGTCATTCAGTATACTAAATACCTATTCCAAAGCTCTTTCAGTCGGTCCTTCCATTTACTCGACGCCGCATGAAACGCCAAGCTAAGCATTATTGATGTGTTAAGCACCGTTTCCAATCCCTTTACGCACAATTCAGGACAGTCAATCGTTCCTTTGATTAACTCGGCCTGATAACAAGAAAGCCGCACAACGAAAAAACTGATTTCGTTGACATTAAATGTGTGCATTGATTGAAACCAATAGCACAATTCAAGAATTCGTTTATGCAACAGCTTCATCGGGAACTCCTCATCACTAAAACCACGCGCATATCGAATACGGGACTTGGAAGATTGGTAATCAGCAGCTCTGGATTCACTACACCTACATCTTCATTATGAGTAGACCTTCACAAAAAGTTCTCATGATTAATACTGTCATTGGGTTCTATTATACGTCCCTCAGAAAGCAGGGCTGGGATACGTCTTGAGGGCGGATTACTCGAGGTCACACTGATGAGAATTTGTTCTACCCATAGCATTTTGTCACATGATTAGACTTTGATATTTGAACGAAAGATTTGACTAGTTGCTTCGTTGTTTCCGCTCTGAACACTTCCGGTTTGTCCAATGCTCATACTAAGCGGGAAATGAAAGCGCTCACACTGTCAAATTAGCCCCATACATATGCCACTGCCGATCGACATGTGCATCGGGTTGGATGGGCAAATTATTGGTTCTACAGCTCACAGTAAACGCCAGTCTAGGGCACTGTTCTGCTCGGAAACTGTTTGAAATATCCTTTTCAATGGAATTCCCAGTCAATGTTGAACCGATCAGAATCGGGGGTTGCGCGCTCTTTTCAAAGGTTTCCTTTAGGGGTGTTCCCCTGGGGTACACTAATATACGAAGAACGAAATACAAAGAATGGAAACGTATGTACCGTCCTCTGTAGACTTTGGGCCTGATTGCTTGACACAAAAGCTTGTATGCTAGTGGATCGCTTTTGCAAGCGAAATATGAAAGTACCAAGTACCAGCTGAGCTAAGAACCGGACGAAAGGACATCCATTCTTCCCGGCTGTGTATAAATTTGCCTATGAGACAAAAGAGTCCAGCTCAGTGCGTTTAGGTAGCAATCTGCATTTGTACTGCCTCACTTACCCATCAAGCGAACAGTTGCATGAGGAGTGACAGGTGGGACGTAGCTGGGAGCTGCTGAATTCTTCAACGTGGAAGTTGCAGAATCCTGAAGGGGAAAAAAGAGAACAGCAATGAACCTTATGTGCCTGCCAACGGGCTAACGATTACCAGACAGGCTGGGCAGAAGAACAGAAAGATCACCGACAAATGACAACAGAAAATAAACAACCCCCTAACAGTGCGCACTGAGTGCGCGTAAAACGTAAATGGTTCTCCTCACACAGCATATACGGACGAGACAATGTGGAACTTCCATTACTGATCGAAATCTAGTTGGACAACCTGGTTCTCTACTTCGTTCACGGTGTGTCACCAGAAACGACCTTAAATGAACGTTTGAGTCGACTTTTCTTTGGAGCAACTGGACACCGGGATGCGAGTAGAACCAGTGCAAAGTT